CACTAGCAATATTGCCATCTCTCCCCTAAAAGGATAACTGGGAATGAAGATCCAATTTGAATGTGTGCATATCGATGGCAGCCTTCCTTTGAAAATATGTAAATCTCTTAGTGGGTTTTCATGCTCTTGTTAATATTTTGTAAGCTAATAAACTTTCGATTAAAGGAAAAAAATTTTAAATTCATTTTAATGAGAAAAAATAGCAATGAAAAGTTTCAAAACAGGTTAGTAGGATAGTTAAAATAATTAACACATTGCATATTGTTGTCATTGTAGTAGTCATTCGAGGACAAGATGCAGACATGATGTCTTGTCTAAACACTATTAGTACAGACCTGACTTCTCATTGAACTAAGTATTTGTATATCTCTCCTAGCTATCTTGTATATACAGATATATTTTTTCACTACAAAACAGTTCTTTATTTATATCCCCCTTTTTAATTTTGTTTTGTCAGAGATGGGTGTTCCATTGCTGTTAGAGAAGCTGTATTTGGAGAAGTCTTTAAAGGACCTTTTCACAACTCTTGTTGCACAGGTCCTGCTTTACCTTGGTCTTAACCATCCAGTAGAAAAGTATGAAGACCAAATATAGGAAGTAAAGCCATGCTGTTATGTTGAGCTTTGGGGGACTCAGGTCAATAATTTCTGACATTGCCAGTTAAACAGAAGACCCAATGCTATTATGGGCTACTGGACTCTTTTAGAATATTTTGCTGAGTTTACACACCTATAATATTCAACAACGGAACTTAGAAAAAATGGGGTATACCGATGAATGTCCATTTTGTATCTGTGTATTCAAAGTGGTTAGGATAGATATATAGTTACATTCTCTTAATGAACAGAATGATTTGTTCTAATGGTGTTTGTAAATAGGATCACAGGTCTGCATCTTGTACAGCAATTAACCACTAAGAAGAATATATGCAGTGTATTATTTGTTGCAACTGTACTTTCGATTTGATTTGAAACTGTCTCATTGCTATATGTTTATTAATAAAACTTTGAAAAGAAAAAAAATAAAGGACCTTTTCATATTTGATACAAGTCCAAATACCGTAGGTACTTGAACTCAGCAAAATAGCTCAACGTAGTCCAATAGTCCATAGTAGTAGTGAGTTATCAGCACAGCTGGAAGTGGTTGACTTGAGCCTTTTACAGCTCAACATATTAATATGGCTTTACTTTTTTATAATTTAATTTTATTGAGAAAGAAATAGAAGCGAGACAGTTTCAAAACAGGTTAGGAGGACAGTTACAATAATTAATACATTGCGTACTGTTGTCTTTGTAGTAGTTATTCATAGTACAAGATGTAGACATGATATTTGTCTAAACGCCATATTAGTACAAATCTTTCTTCTTGTTGAATGAAGAGAGAGTAGTTGTATATTTATCTGAACTATTTTGCATACACACACAGACACACACACACACACACACACACACACACGTATTTTTTTCCACTACAAACTGGTCCTTCATTTATGTCTCCCTTTTTTGTTTAGTTTTTTTAGAGATGGGTATTCCATTGCCATTTAAATATTGTAGGAGTGTGAATTCAGCAAAATATTCCAATATAGTCCAGTAGTCCATAATGGTAGTGGATAATCCATAAGACTGGCAATGTCAGAAGTTGTTGACTTGAGCCTTTTACAGCTCAGCATATTAATATGGTTTTACTTTTTGTACTTCATTTTTATACTTATCTGCTGGATGGTTAAGACCAAGATAAAGCAAGACCTATATAACAAAAAATGTAACTTTCATATCTGACAAGTTCAGTCAAATCCCCTCAGGATTTACCCTGGAGCCATGTACAGCACCTTGTGGATCTTTCTTTAGTGTCAGCCAACTGGGTGAATCACAGAACTCCTTCTTTGCAAAGTAGATGTGTCAGCTTTCTGTGGTGTGACAAAACACCTGAAAAATCTTACACGAGAAAAGTTGATTTCAACTCTCAGCTCCAGGGACTGCAGAGAGAGAGAGAGAGAGAGAGAGAGAGAGAGAGAGAGAGAGAGAGAGAGTAACAGAGACAGAGACAGAGAGACAGAGAGAGACAGAGAGACAAAAAGACAGAGAGAGACAGTGAGAGAGAGAGAGACAGAGACAGGGAGAGAGAGAAAGAGACAGAGACAGAGAGATCTACCCACGTTTTTATTTGTAGAATTTTGTCTTTTTTGTAGTTTTTGATGAGTATGGTTTTGCAGGAAATCCTGTTTAAGTTCACTGTGGGGGTAGATACATGTACTCAACACATCTTATTCTTTTACTCTCAGTCTCCTCCCTCTCCCTCTCCTTCTCTGGGTCTCCTTGTCATTGATACAGACCTCTCTCCTTTTTTCCTTCTGTCTTTGAGGCTAATGTCCAGTGAATCCTTCCTTAGTGTGTGCTGCAGGGGTCCTGGGTTTCCTGGTGTGCCATCACCACACCCAGCGTCCTTCTCTTACCCCTTCCTTATCTGTGGGTTCTCGCGTGAAGTGCAAGTCATGACTCCCTGCTGGCCCACGTGGTGTCATGCTCCCTTCCCACTGAGTGCTCACAAAGCTCGTTGCCCTCACTGAGAATAGGAGGTGGGATATTCCACATAAGACAAACAGACATGCTGAGTCTCAGATAGAGGTGCTAGGAGCTCAGTCATCCCATGCTCAGCAGAAGCATCAGCCCCCGTGAGAAAGATTTACCGGCCCCTCCTGTGGTTGTCCTCATTGCTCTCTTGTTCCTGGGACAAAATACTGGAATATATATATCATACTTGGTACAGGTTCTCACTGCAGCTTGTCCTCATCATGTTCCTACTATTTCAGCCCTCCCAGAGCTGGAATCTTAGGTGTGTACCGCCACGCATGGTTTCAATGGCTAACAAGGAGCACCTGGGATGGGGCCGGCATGGAATGCAGTTCCAGGGAATGAACCCAATTTTTTATGCTTATCAGCAGGTGCTTAGATCACTGGGCTATCTCTCTGGCCCTCCAAAATTATATTCTGAATACGGAGGGATGGCCAAATAGCTCAGCATGTTAAAGTGCCTGCAAGCAGGCCCAGGGGTCAGGGGTTTGATCCCCAGGCCTGCCGTACCAGCCCCACCCCCAGGGCGCGCTGAGATAGCAATTGAGACTGGGCATGGAGGCATGTGCCTGTAATCCCAGGTCTTGGGAGGCTGTAAGCAGGTAGATCACCATGAGTCTGATCTAGTAGTGAGACCCTGAAGACCCTGTAGACACTTCCCTCAAATGTAAGTACAAATACAAATCATCATCATCATCATCATCATCATCATCATCTAAAGAATATGGATTTTTTGGCTCAGTTTGTAGAGGTTTCAATCCATAGTGAGTCGGATTCAAGGCAGGTGATGGATGAGGAGAAACAGCCCATGGTGTGGTAGGAAAGAAGCAGGAAGCAGGGTCCAGGGCCTGGGAGGAAATGTGCTTCCAGCCCATGCTCATGGTAACTGCCTCATTCAAGCAGGCTTCACCTGGTAATGTCACCCCCAGATATAAACGCATGGGTGGACAACTCCAGCATCACACAGCCATGACCCAGTCTCATGGTCCAGGTTCCTCCCCACAGCAACACTTATGAGTTCATGACGTTTTGGGGTCATCACCCAGACCTGAGGTGGAGGTGTGTGTGGCTGCTCTTCCAGGGGATTAGGCTTCTTTATGCCAACATGGATGTTGGGCAGGTTCGGGACCAGTGACAGTGCTCACCTGCTCCACTCAGGTGGGCTCATTACTCCATCCAGCTGACAGTGACACCCGGGGATAGGTAGCCGCTGGGTCCACACTGAAGGTGCACAAAGCACAGTGCTCCGAGACCGAATACAAACAATTGCTCAGTGTGGCGATAGTTTATGTGTATTGAGGAAAAGGGTAAGAACAACTCCTTCAGTGAACAGTGATCCTCCTCTTTCCAATTTTAACCT